CAGAATCAGCAACATCCTCAGCACCCCCAGCACCCCCAGCAGCAACAACACCCGCATCAACAGACCCAGCAGCAACAGCAACAGCAGGGACGACCTGGCAGCAACGGCTCTTTAGGCCGCCTTGAGGCGTTAGTTGCTGTTGCAACAAGCGAAGGATCTACTGCCGCAGCATATTGAGCTGGGCTATGCCTCATCCACTCCGTCGTTCTCAGACGACAATGATTTGACGACTTATGACCTATTCCCTTGAACCAACTTGTCTTTTCCTCTATACCTGGCAGCGGAGACGACGCACGTTGCGGGCATGATCCTTTGCATGATACATGACCATGGAATTTTCTTCATCTCTTTTGGTACAACGACATCCCTACTCTGATTTCACTTGGCTGTTGGTTCAAATGGCAGCATTCAACAACATCCTACCGACATTGATATCTGATTCGAGGAACCGACATTCCTCCAACAATCTGAAACGTCTGGCCCCTGTGAGTTTGCGAGACAAGCTGAGCTTGTCAGATGTTTTTCTTGCTTTTAACAGCTTTTTTATTATTACTTTTGCTGAGGGTGTCTCGGCTTCCTTCTCCGCTTGGCTAGAGCATGATCTGTAACGGTAAAGGAAGACGTCATCCGTCGGCGTGATACCCTGACTTTGTTTGCATGAAGCGACATCAGTACATAATTTGGCCGTATATGAACATCACGACCTCCTGGTACATCTTGCGGTGATGCCAGGGTTGGATTTGTCGAGCGCCGTTGCGTCATTGTTGGAATTCTTGGGGCTAGACGCAGGTGGTATTGTGAGATGAGTTGGTCATATTTGACGCTTGTGTCGTGTCGTAGGGTTGGAGGATGGGTTTGAATTTGATACCCCGTGATTTGAGCGGTTTCTCAGTTCTTGTTTCTGTTGGCGTTTGTCAGGTTGCTTGGTTTAGACATGTGTCTCAGGATTCTCATGACCTTTTCACTTATCAGGGAGGTGTTGGTTTGGCAATGGAGTCGCGGCTCTGTTTACAGATTGATGATGAGGGGCCTGGTGTTTTTCTTGACGTTTATGATGATATCTATAGTTTTATACAGCGATGAGATTGCTCAGACGTAGAGCTGAGATATAATGCAAACTGAGTTAAAATTTGATCTTGGTGGGATTCTAATGTGGCCATGGTTCAGAACACCCGCCGTGATATAAGGGTAGATGGTATATCGGCAGACGTCGGTGCGGACATGTTCAGGGAGGATCCTTATATCCGGTGTCAGTATTACATGAGTTGAAAGGTCGATCACTACCAGGTCAGTGGCGGACTTGAACGGATCTCAATAAAGCTCACATTCATTCGCTTGTCGAAAACTCCGGGGCCAAATAGGGCAGATGTGACGTAGCATATACATCATATATAGACGAAATGTCGTCGAAGTTACAGGGCACGGAAAGGACATCAATTCTGAATACCTTGGAGCTTAGGTATCAAGTCAGAACCTCTTCATATCATGATCATAATTGTCTGATTAGTCCTTCCAAAATGCCTGCCGCTGATCGCTGAGAGCACCAACCTCTCGCCGCACGAAACATCGTCACCCTCAGCTCCCACTCTCGTCTGCTGATAAATATGGATGATAACCTACCCTCATCGTCGTCTTCTGCAGGCCGACTTCGGGCTCTTCTGCCAGGCCCAACTCGAGAAGGAGGCTCACCCAGGCCTCCACCCAAGCTGAACATACCCAAGAGAATATCCGTCAAGACTGCATGCCAGGCCTGCAGACAACGCAAAGCCAAGGTTGTAGGAGCTTCTGTGCCAAGATGGGTAGCTTACTGACTTTGAATAGTGCAATGGTCAAAGGCCAAGGTGCTCTGGCTGCATCACTGCTGGCAGAGAATGTCACTATGCCAGCAGCCACTACGAAGCCGAGGTTGCAGCAATGAAACGAAAGCACGATGAACTAAAAGAAAGAATCGCTGATCATGAGAGTCTTTACTCTTCGCTCAAGACCAGAGAGCCTCATGAGACGGACGAGATACTGCGGAGAATTCGAGCCGGAAAGGACATCAAAGGCGTGACTGAGGACCTTCAGGGAGGAACATCACCCGCTCCGACGTCTCGGAAACAGACAAATCCTCTTCTACGAAACAATAGTGACAATACTCTAGGCAGCGCTACAACGTCCGGAAGCGCCAGCTCGCCAACATTCTCAGCGGCACGCATGAGCCTTTCCCAACCCCAACAGCAAACAAGGACCAGACTCACAGCTTTGTGAGTACACCAACAAAACTTCAAACACCTGTCTAATATTTTCCAGAAATGAACAACCCGGTAGCCTATTTGAGAAAGCCTGGCGAGAACCTCAGCGCAGAGCCTCTGACGACTCTGCATCCATTGATCTCCAAGGGCATATACTCCCTTTTTCGCAATGGACGAACGTCATCCAAGACGACAAGCTTATAAGCCACTTACTACTGTTGTTCTGGACGTGGGACACATCATGTAACCGTATCATCGACCGAGCTATCTTCGAAGACGACCTAAAGAACCTCAACCCAACGACACGAGGCGTGCCCTCAGCACTGCGATTTTGCTCACCATTCCTTGTCAATGCCATTTTGGCCGTTAGTTGCGTATGTATGCTTTACCACCCCTTTCAGAGTCCCTGCAGACTAAAACCACGAATATAGCTATATACGACGGATCCGATTACCTTCAGCATACCAGATGAACCCAGCACCCGAGGAAAGATATTCGCCCAAGAAGCCATCCAGTGTCTGAAGCAGGAAGACACAATGCCTTCATTACCGGTGGCACAGGGCCTAGCGCTTATGTACGTGTATGAAAGCGCCCTGGGCAACGGAGAAACGGCGCTCGAGTTCCACAGGCTTATGCAGTCACGGTACATGGCGCTGAAACTTGATGATATTTATCGTTCTACGGATACTGCTATTGCGGGTTCTAGACAGAGAGCCGAAGCACATGCGTTGTCTTGGATACAATGGGGATTCTATGTCTGGGACTGGTAAGTAATGTGCTCGCGCCGAACCAAACTCATTGACACATGTGCCTCAGGAAACCAATGCACGGTCTATGTCGTCGTCTCGTTATCAAGAAGCCTGCACGAGCTAAAACTTGGCAAGAAGAAAACTCGCCGGTGAATAGAACGGAGAACCCGGAGTATTGGTGGTTCTCATATCCTGTTTCCGTAGCACCCCAGCGGTCGATGAAGCGTGAGATATTCGAGGCCGAATGTAACTTTACCGAAATCACAGAGCAGGTTCTCGAGTTCCTTATCCCTTTAGAGCAGGGACTTTCACCGTCTCGAAATGCCGGACGTGCTGCAGAGTTGTACTCTAAAATCATGGAGTGGAAGTTCTCCTTGCCTGAAGAGCTAAGGGCTGAGAATGCCGTTCTGCCCGCTGCTATACTACTACAGTAAGTCTTGTAAAGGATCATGCAGAATATTATCGGCAACTGATATGCATCTAGTCTAAGCGCGGATCTTGTAGTAATCAGCATTCTGCAACCCTTCGACCATATTCCCAAATCCGTCTTCGGTCCCTTTATTCCACGTCTAACATCTTACGCCCACGCAACAAACGCCATGTCAACGATCTGGCACTTCCGCGCTCTATACACGATCCACAACGAGCACTGGCTCATCCAAGCATGCTCCGTCTGTGCTTTCAAAGTCCTTTTCGCCATTGAGGAGAGCCCTGTCCAACTCGAAACGTTCGTAAAAGCGTGCCGAGCCCTCATGGAGCTTCGAGAAGCGTTCCCTGTGGCGGAGGAGGTCATTTACTCTATTGAATCGGTGGTGAAGAACAAGAAGGTGAATCTACCTTCGTATGCGAGGGAGTATATGCCCAACGGTGCTGGAGACGGTGTTGGGGATTTGAAGGGTGTCAGGGTTAGGGATCACAGCGTTATTGTTGAGAAGGCTGGTTCGGATGGGAGTGAAGATCGGTTGACTATGACGGGCCTGCTTTCAACACTGACTCCTAGTGAAACGGGACTGTACTAGTTCATGTAGACAAGTTGCGTGTATGTATATCTAGATAGACAGTTTGGCGTTACCAGATAGAGCGCGCAGATCTTTGTTCTTGGATATATATTGCGACACGTTTTAAAGCAACGAGAGTCTGGTTCGTAAGACTCTTCACTAGATCCAAGTACTTCAAACTTCCAGCAAATGCGAATCATCTAATTTGATTTCGGCAACTCTGTCTACTTTTCTGATCTGACATATCCTCTCGTTGAACATAGTCTCCCCGCAGCGTCATGGGACTGCTCCCGGCGTCTGCTGATAAGCCTCTTGGTCATTCTCGAGGCACCGACGAAATTCGCTACGGTCATGCCCCAGAACAATAAGATTCAGGGGCAAGCTCAAGCAAGTCACCGCAAGTTGGCACCTTCGTCAAAGTCTGATACTCCATCCATGCTCAGATAGAGAAAGGTATAATATTTTCAACTCTTCTAGCAGCCTCCACTTCTAAACGCATCCCTGAACTGTCGATGTATCGTCAACGGGAAGCTGGTGCTCTCTCATAAAAGTTTTGCTGGATTAATCGATACAAATCAGTGGTAGTTCAGTTTATGGCCATTCTTACCAACAAATGACTTTGGTGATTTTAGTGGTTTACATCACGATGTTGAGTTGACGTTGGATTGAGTTCCATTCTTGTAAATTGCAGCGGTACAATGTTTATACGGGTCGTGAACTTAGGCCATTCCATGAACATCGATACGGAAGCTCATACGATACTTAACATCGGTCAAACATACATCACTGCAATCCACAGATTTGTCAACTTACAACTCATTATCATTGGCATGCATGGCAGCTAATATCATGAACGCTAAGAACTGTGTCCTTCGTGCACGTCTCCACGCTATCTTCCCGTTTTCTGTATACTACCCTTCTTTGTCTTTCATCACTGTCCGTTCCGTACGCCCACCGCCTGTCTATCTTGTCTTCGTCTTGTCCAAAAACGCCTGGAAAACCCAATTCTTGTTCCGTCATTACCGCTCATCACTGGGAATATGTCCCTCGACAGCACTCAGCGCCCCCAGATTCACCTCGCCGAGACGTTCTCCAACATCCTGGACACCGGCGAGGAGAGCTACGCACTCGATCACATCCTCTGGTTCCAGGAGATGCGACTTGGCCAATGTGACCTTTGTGCTCGCTCCAACGGTGACTGTGAAGACGTGGTTGGCATCCAGCACAGGGCCCGAAGCGGCATTAAGGCTTCGGAACATGTCCTCATCCGTGAAGTCGTCACCCATGCATAAGGCAAACTCGAGGTGCCCAGACTTGTCTTCAGACTCGGTGCCAGGTGTGTGGTACATGGTAATGAGGCGCTTGGCGATCTCGCCCTTGTTGATGAACGTGGGGCGGACTTCGATATTGGCCTTACCAGGCATCACCTCGACATCCCATTTCGCGCCAACTGTCGATTCGAGCTCCTTATGGCACTCTCGCGACATGTGAATGCCTTGCTCGGGGTCGGCCAATCTGTAGTGCCAGGTCAAAGCACATCGCTTTCTCTCAATAAAAGAACCTTTTTTACGTCAGCGTGCGTCAATTGGAACATGTGTCAATGTACAAACCTTGAACCCTGTCGGTGTATTTCTGGAAGACCTCCATCACCTCAGCCTGCCATCCCATATCGAACTTCTCTGCGAGGTTCTCCCACTCGTCTGAGCCGGGGTGCTTCATAAAGCTGCCGTGCTCAGCTGAGAATCCAAGACGTCTGTTGTTGCCAAGGTGCTGCTTCAAGAAATCCTGATCTCGTCCCGAAATGATCCACACAGCATTCTTGGGGTCTGAAGCCAACAGGTCAAGGGTGTGAATAAGACGCTCCGAGGGCACTGCAGCACTAGGCTCGCGCACGATGGGCGTCAGGGTACCGTCGTAGTCGAACATGAACAGACGTTTGTTGGCTGAGCGGTATTGAGTAAGAAGAAGAGCTCGGTCGAGTAGAGGAGTGGAGTTGGCAGAGCTGCTGTCACCAAGAACATTGTATACCTTGCGGATGAACTTAGTGATCCAGGACTGCACATTGTGCTCAGTAACGTGTCTGTAGAGACGAGACTGCATCTCTTGTCGCTTGTCTTCGGACATGGTGAGAGCAGCATTTATCTTCTCAGCAACGCCACTGAGATCCCAGGGATTGATGTGGATGGCATTTCTGAGACTGCCAGCGGTACCACTGAATTCTGAGAGAATGAGAGGAGCATTGCCCTCCTTCTGGCAGATGATATACTCTAGACTTGTGGTGTTCATGCCGTCACGCACAGAAGTGATGAGACCAATGTCACCGGCACGCAGAAGAGCAAAGTACTCGTTCTGGCTGAGGTACTGTGGGTAGTGCTGAACGGGAGAAAAGCCCAGGCTTCCGTACATGCCGTTGATGCGCATAACAAGCTCATTGACACGGGTCGCAACCTTCGTGTCGTCCTCAAGATCTTCCTTCTCTGCCTCGACGCTAGTGGGCGAGGTGACCTGGATGAGAACAACCTTCTCACGCCACTCAGGGTACATCTCAAGGAAGCGCTCAAAAGCTTGCAGCTTCTGGGCAACACCTCTGACACTATCGAGACGGTCACGTCCGACAATGATCTTCTTGCCGCGGTAAAGCTCGCGCAGTGCGTTGTACTTGGCGGTCACGGCATCGGTCCATGCGTGGCTTTCAACCTTGGCAGCGTCAATGCCAATGGGGAAGACGCCAACTTGGACGCGAGTTCCATAAGCATCAATTCCGAGAGTATCAGAGGGGAATCCAAGGATTCGCGTGCAGCAGCTCAGAAAATGGCGAGAGTAACTGTATGACTGGAAGCCGATGAGGTTTGAGCCCAAAACACCCTCAAGAACCTCCTTTCGTCGAGGCAGGCAGCGGAGGAACTCGCTACTGGGGAAGGGAGAATGCAGGAAGAACGAGATGTACATGTTAGGTACTCTCTGTCGCAGCATGCTGGGAAGCAACATGAGGAAGTAGTCATGAATGATGACGATGTCGCCAGGCTTGTAGATCTCGATGATCTTGTTGGCGAATTTCTGGTTCATTCTATAGTAATCGGCCCATTGAACACGTTCGCGGCGGCCGTCGGTCGGCTCATGTTGCTTGTAGTGGAGGAGGGTGTAAAGATCGTGCTCAGCATAGCGTCGCCAGCGGGCCTGGTCCTTGAGAAGGATACCCTCAGAAGTGGCCTCGGATTCATCCGAGAGCCAGACAGGGTAGGTGCGGATGGTCTTGTTGTGTGACAAACGGTACTCGAGGCGGTCTTGGTCCTCGCGGGGCACCCAGAGACCATCGACTGGAGGAGGAGTCGGTAGGCGCGAGTTGCCGTCAATGGGAACGGGTGCGGAGAGGGCGTTGAGCGATGTCGCACCAAAAGTGTTTGGGGCGGGCGTGCCGGGTGAAGAAACGACGTCATCAGTTGGAGCGTCGATTTCGCCGGTCCACGCGACAACGGTGTGATTCCATGGGGTAGCGTCGGAGGAGAGGTATGCGAAGGAATCAAAGAGAGCAGATTGGCCGCGACGAGATTTCAAGTCCTGTAGTGAGAGCAAAAGTTTAGCTGAGGCTCGATTTTTCATGTGACGAGGGGGAGGGGAGCTGAAGCTGGCAGGGAGGGAGGGAGCTCCTCTGTAGCTTGGTTGGAGAAGAGGGGGAAATGCAAGCTAGAGAGTGAACCCCAGTAACTGATAGTGATACGAGATGAAATGTTGAGGAAGCGAAGCGAAGCGAGGTGAATAATTAGTTAGTTACATACCCAATCACCGCCTTTTCGATAGACGAAAGAATGCGGTGTGTTGAAGGTAGCCGAGATAATGTTACCGCTCAGAGCCAAATCAGGGTTGGCAGCTCGAATCTCGGACAAGGACTCGCGGCGGCGCAAGTTGGGCGCGCCAGTGGTTTCACTGGAGGTTGCCATTTTCCCGGTCAAGGTGCGATCTGAGAATCAGGCTCGGGAGAGGAATAGAGAATTAAGGTGAGGAGAATCGTGGACGAAGAGGTGTCAGCTGGCGTCTCCTTTGGGGTTGTCTTGTCGGAGCAAGGTGATCGCCGTCTGTCTCTCGCGAGGAGTTTAGACGATAGAGTAATGCGCGCGCGTATTCCGTGATTAAGAAGAAGCGGAAAGTGATGGGATAGAATAGAAGAAGGATACAGCTGGGCTATACAAGCTGCGCGAAGCAAAGAGTGTTTGGGTTTGAGAGATGAAAGAAGAGAAAGGTTGTAAAGTTATGGCGGAGGAAGGATGGATGGTTAAGGTTGAGCGGGACTAGGAGGGAGAAGCGAAGGGGAAAGAAGCGATTCTACAGGCTGGATAAGGTAAGAGTAACCTGGGATACAAGCAACGGTGACGTTAGCTGTATCTGTTCTGTCCCCAAGAAGATGGGACATACATAATAAGTCAAGTCAAGTCAAGGCAAGTCAAGGCACGGTCTGGTCTAGTCTTAAAGTCGGACCGGGCGGTTTCGGCGACTCATCGTCGTGTGTTGCTGTGCCCATCCATCCAGGCGGGCACTGCTGTAGTGTCAGTGACTGATGAATGAGGTGGTGGGGCATTTCTCTGCTGTAAAGGTGCCTTGCTTTTTGCGGGCATACCACTAATGGATGTAAAAATGGCACATGGTGACTTTTTCTGAGGCTCAGTACTAACCCAACGTTAGATAGCAAGTTAATAAAATCGCAAGCGATTGAACACGCCTCGACAATTTGACCGTCAAACCATTCATATTTCCACTTGCAGAGACTTCTCCAGGTCTATCTACACCAGAAACTAAGATCTCTCCATTTTGTCGCAGTATCATGAGCCCTCAGCACACCTTCTGGCTCACGCGCCGGAGCAAAATTCTTAAAGGCCCGACAGCTGCCAAGATGCCTTGACTTGGGTCGCCAACTCGAGTGAACCCAGAATATGGCTGCCGATCAGGTACAGGTGAACATTCAATGGCTGAAATAGGCAATCTAGCTTTGGCTATCAACACGCATTCTGTAGGCAGAGTAGACAGACGACCAGCGTTACATTGTCTTCAACGTCGATCCTTTGACAACACCAGAATGTCGTGATAACTCTCGCCATGCAAGTTGCTTTCTCGTTAATCGAAACTCTCGCTTAGTGAGTATCGCTTCTGTAGACCACCTTTTGTATCGGATCATATGGAAGGTGATAGAATTAGATATCTGGTGCCTCGCATGGCGTTTGTTTCCATGTGACCGTGCGTGCCAATAATGGCGGGGGAGGGGTAATGAAAGCAATGCGGCCGACAAACACCATCTATTGCTTATTTCAACCGTTCACGCAGCTGAGAAAGCATTGGCAGCACTGACTCAGCATTTTGAGTTGCCGATGTCTAGTTATGTATGTTTCTTTATTCAGCTTTCCCATCCTCTGAGCATTTAAGCCTACTAAGGCTGACTGTCGACGAAGGTTTCTTCGTAAGGTCAATCAAGTGGTTGCGATATCGCTTTTCGTGATCTCACGATACCCTCATGGATTGAGATCAAAAGTAGATCATGTATTCTGTGTTTATACCCCCTTCCTACTCAATTACCACGCTCAATCCAGTATCATGAAGCTCATCTGTTAAAAGATCGCTAATTCTAATCATCATCGACAAAATCCACTTTCACGATCGATAAGATGCTATTCAAAGGTCTCCACTGGTTAACGCACCAACGATAATAAACAAGCAATACGGCACAGGCGCCAGCAATTGTGCCCCCAGAACCGGCCGAACCAAACAAAAGACGGTGAGACCCCCTTTGACGGAGATGCACTCCCGATATGCCAGCGCACAGCGCAAAGCTCATGATACTCTGTGAGTCTTCTAAGCCATTATCATATGCAGTAAAATTATGAAGTTGCGGAAGCATCGTCCAAGCTTCTATTTGACAAAATATGACGCAGCATTTACCGTACCATAAATACCTACCTGAGATGGTGCGCATTTCATTCAAATTTAGGCGTGGACCACCATCTTTCGGTTCAAGTCCGTTCACATCGAGCCGCATCCGGGGCTTATCCCCCGGATCTATGCCTGTGTGAAATGACCCCGCCATTGATTTTGCACCTGGTGCTAAAAAGAACACCACGCCATGGACGGGCCGGGCCATGAATCTCATCATGCCTCATCATCGAGCTCTCATATTTCTGAGCCATCCACCGTCAGACGTGACCGCACGTTCCCGGCAGTTGATGTTCTCCAACCGGACGTTGCTGCCGAGCTTCTTATTGTTCTGCGAGAATATCCGATCACTGAGAGGCATAGTTGCTGATAATTGGTTGTTTCCCTGCCTGCAGATTATCTTCGATGGTGGCTGCGTCAAGTATGCATATTTGAGTCATTTTAAGTGGTAATTTCCTCATTGTCTCTTTGTTTACTTCGAAATTTTCTTCTTTGGTTTCTTCCGCTGCCTAATTGGAAAAACAGACTGCTTCTATCTGTTCTTGTTGGTTGGTTCACGATAAAACCTCGTGGACTGCGCTGCAACCGCATTACACCAACAGAACTTCTGAACATGGTATGTCTTATTGCCTGCATTCTTTTCTCTGCTTAGCCCGTTCGATATGTGCATCTCACTCTGTCTCTCCTCAGTGTGGTTTATCGACGGGCTACCATTGGAGGTTGACTTATGTTTCCAAGAGGTTCGAGACTGTCTAGACTCTAGGATGGAACAACGATTCAACATCCCGGCCCGGTAACGCCGTTACAAGTGACAAAAACTTCCTGATGTTGACACACACAGAAGCAACCGCGATATTGAGCGTTTTTTTCTCGGAATCCTTGTTCTACAAGCATTCTTCTCTTTCATTCTCGTCGTCAAGTCCCATCATATCATCCCAAGCTTGAGCTTTGAGCTCAAAGAACCCCACCGAGGGGCACATTTCAAGTCTCCGCCAATGACAAATACCTCTTCAACTGCCCGTCATTCCCGCTACAAAAGCCCGTCACGATCCAATCACTTGTCTCATATTAATATCAGATGGAGTCTCTAGTTGGGAATCGTCCAGGAACCTTGATGTGATGAGTGGTCCAGACTCAACAATCGTGATCTAGCAATCGTGGGCCCGCTGCCCCTCCAAGATGGACCAAAGGCTCCAGCGCCATGACGCAAGTGATGAAAACTCCATTTGTTGACTTCCATGTGAACGGGCATTCCTTGATAAGTAGCTTCGGCTGCCACAATCTTGTGGGCTCGAAAAAATGTCGCGTGCAGAGGTGAAGTTGCAAGTAGGCAAGCTTCTAATGTAAATTTTGCGACCTAAGAGAAAGCCATTTTCGAGGCCAAGATGTTGAGGATGAAAAGAAAAGAGGCGTGGTATTCTTACTTTCATACTAATACTCTATCCTAAGGAGATACACCAAAAAGATTTCCTTGAACCCCGAATGTCCCAATCCTATCCCCGAAATAAGTAATTATCACAAACGCCAGATATGTATTGTTAAAGTCCATCACTATCTCCAATTGAGGCCCATCTTAAAAATCTGAGATCTGGCCGCTTACTTCTCCTCATCCTCAGCTGGAGCACCCATCCCCGAGAAGGGGCACACACCACCGGCGGGCATACCACTAGGATGTGGAATCCTTGACGGGGGGTTCTGGGGATGTTCTGAGGCATCGTCTTCAGTACCCGAACCACTGCCCTCACCAAGAATGCGCTTTCCATGCAGGTAGCCCTCACGCTCAATCTCGATATCAGAGTCGCCTGTCTCGAATTCGGCACCATCCTTGACATGCCATTTGGCCATGAGGTCGTTCTGGATCCAGATGACCTTGTTAAGAGCCTTGACGAGAGCTGTCTTGCGCTGAATGTGTAGACGAGGGTGTGAAAGGATAGCTTCGGTCATGATGTCCTGGATGAAACCGAGACAGACACCAAGGTGGACGTATTCGATGTGAAGAGGGTGCTTGCGGCCAAGACCAACATGCATCATTCTAGACCAGTCAGTATCTCCTCATGGATTCTGTTGAAAGGGGCCTACATACCCAACCTTGTCCAGATACTCCCAAAACTCCATCTTGCTGGGATCTGAGCACAGCTTCATAAGATAAGCACGCAGAAACATCTTTCTGTGCAGAATTTGAGGACTGTTCTCGTCGGGAACTTCATCGAGGGGGCCTTCGAAGGAAGTACTTCTGGTGGTGAAAGCACGAGCTGTGATATCGTATTGGAGGAGTTTCTTGTAGACGATGTTTACGACGGCGGGGATGAGGGCCTTGACGTATTTTGCGCCAGTGATGAGAGCTTCAATGTCGCCTGTAAACGCAGACTGTTAGTTGAGTTTGGGTTATGGATAAAACTTGCTCTCAATTGCGAGGTTGAGGTCGAGTTATGGGGTGTTTGCGCTGGGTGTAACGTACGGCTTGAGAAGTCGAGGAATGAGTGAAGATACTGAACACGGGCTTCGAGGTTCGTGTAGAGATCCTCGCGATCGATATGCTTCATAGGTCGTGAAGTCATCTTGGCTGTGTATTTAATTTGGTGACTGTATTCGAAATGGGTAACTTTTTCGCTGAATCGTGAAACCAAGCCGAGAATATCGACTCTTGTGCAAGTGAGGGTATAGATGAAGGTGTCGCAGATCGTAGGCGCAAGAAAAGGGTTGATTGAACCTGTCGGTACTTAACAGCAGAATTCTCAGCTGATTCAAAAGCTCGTGTGACGCAGGTTAATTTGAAGGACTTAGTCTTCGCAAGTAACAGATCGATTATACAGAATCGCACCTCGAACAACAGCCAGACGTGTCAGTATTTATTAGATTGACTATCCTTGGTAATTTACCCCTCAGTCCCTTGTCCATGACAACTTTTTCTTCTTCTTCAGCGATTATACGCGTGCTCATGACACGAAAGCTCTTCCCCCGAGTCTCGCCTTGCTCCGTTGGTTGTTTGTTAAGCTGAGCGCATCACGCCAGGTCGATATTATCAGACGATGGTGATGGTGGGCTGATGAGTGGGTCTGTTCAAGGGTCTGTGATTATCGGTGCCAGCCGGACGCACCCGAGGAGAGATGAGATGGATTCGGTGTATCAAGAGATTTATATTTTGTTTCTATTATACAAATACGATACTGAAAGCTGGTATCCTGAGATATCACATCGTACTGGCAGTACGGTTTGTGAGGCTCTGATATAGGTAGGGACCTGAAGCTGACACTTGACAGCTTGAGTGGGTTTCGAAGGCGACTTGCGGGGGTATTCAATGAACGTTAGGCTGATTCACAAAGGGAAAATCAGCTTAATGTGATTGGTGTGAGCTCCCAGGCTTGAATAACCGTTGAAGACGGCGGATAGCGATAGCTAAAAATGGAGGATGAGCGGTAGATCAGACAATCCCATATTCCAGAAAGTCGTTCGAGATCTACACAATGACTAAGTTTGTTTCAGAATCTAGAAGCATTTCGGATATGATGCAAGTGACACAAGTCCTTGTTCATGCCTATCAATTCGTAATACCCTTTGTCTTGAATGCTCATGGCTTATATGAACTTACTACCGAATCAATTGACGAGACGACTCATTTCGAAAAGGCCCATACTGAAATCTCGACTCATCCGTGCGGTTCAGCCGCAAGCAGGGACATGATGCCAGATTCCCGAAATTCCCGACAGGATTTCGTCATAAGATGAACATCTATACCCCACGATGAGCTATTTACCAAGACCCTTGCTGTTGGGCATGGGATGGGATATCGATAATTGCACTGCATTATGAATCAGGATTTCTCCGCTGCTGGCATTTCGGCCGAATGAGAGGGTTGGGCTAGGGTGCAAAATCGTCAGACTTGAGCTGGAACATAATGATGTTATAGGAAACCTATTGGACTGACACGAAACAAAAAACAATTCATTATACATAACAAATAAAACGAGATGAAATTTGCCGTAGTAGTAGAATGACACATTATTCTATAATAAAAGTATTGTGAAGAATGCTTCGAAGACAGAATTCACAGCTCTAGGTAGAGAGCTGTATAGGGTAGTCACAAACCGTCTGACATAATCAATAAACACGTGACCCCATCGCCCACCAAATTCTTCGTTTCGGCTCATCGGCCTCACCTCGCTTCAACACCCTCCAACACCCGGGAATCCTCCGACAATCAGCCATCGCGACGGCCGCAACCATTCAAACCAGTCGAGTCCGGCGCCATTCTCAAGGGTCCCGCTTACGGAATACCCCAGCTCCGCCAAACGAGCTCCGTGCTCCGCTGCAGGCCGGCACAGCCTGGCAGCTCGCCGCCATGTCCGGCTCACCACCTCCACCCTCACCAAACTCCCATGCGACGGCTCACGCGTACGCAAGCAATGGGCTCGAAATGCTCCAGGCCGCCAGCGATGCCGCCCATGCTATCACTCAACACATGAACAGTCCCCAAGCTCTCCAACATGCCGCCGTAGCTGCCGCCGAAGTCGTGGGCCACCAACAACCACATGCGCCCTTGGAGCCTCCAGACGGCATGCCTCATGCGACCGAGTTGCCTACTCAGCTTATACCTGGAAATGGAGCTGTTATGCGCGACCCGACTATCAACCCGAAGCTTACTCGACTGCGACGGGCCTGTGACATGTGCAGTATGCGCAAGGTCAAGTGCGACGACAGTAACATACCGTGCCGGCCGTGTCGAGAGCTCGGTGTAGACTGCACCTACAACCGCGAGACGAAGCGTCGGGGACCACCCAACAAGCATGCCGAGGCCGCAAAAGCTGCCAAGCGCTCGCGGGTCGATATGCCGTCGGCGGCGACTGCAGCGGTGGCCGCTGCTGTAATCGGATCTTTGTCTCCGTCACCGCAGACTGCGGCAAAGACGTTGATGAACATCTCGACCGATAATGTCGATGCCGAATACATTGCGCCTATGCCAGTGTTGGAACTGCTGGTCGATGACTTCTTTACCTACATCCACCCGCTTGCGCCATTCCCACACGAGCCTACGTTCCGTCAGTCATTCGCCAATCGTGAAGACCGTACGAAGCCCGAGTTTCTTGGTTTGCTTGCGAGCATGATCTGTGCTCTTGTCGCATCCTTCCCACGAAGTGCGAGAGAACATCTCAAGGCACAACACAGCACCCATCTGTTTCCTCGAGCTATCGTCATGGTTGAAAGATGCCGTGAGATTGCTTTGATTACACGTGGGAACAAATGGCAACTCAAACAGCCAAAAACTCTGGACGATGCTGCAACCAGCTACTTCTTGGGACTGGCATCGGGATACACGCATCAGTGGAACGCCTCTGGTCAATTCATGGCCGAGACCCTGACCCTCCTCCGCGAGCTGGGATTCAGCCGGCCCAAGCACCCTGGTGACCTGCCGACATTTGGCAATGACAACTGTTCTCCGGATCCTCTTCCGTTCAACCATGTCAAAGATCAGATCGGGAAGCGTATCTTTTACTGTCTTCTTCTCGGCGTACGGTAAGTATCGCTTTCTCTCGTATAAAGCTCTACTGACATCTCTCAGATCTTTTTCCCAGCTTGGTGCGTCTTCTGCAGACATGGTGATTGCGCCATCAACACCCAGTCTCCCATATCCCGCATACCCAGAAAATGTTGATGACATCTGCGTTCTCGCCAACGAAGTCATTCACCAACAGGATGGCAGCGTTACTCTGTTGACAGGCTTCCGTTTTGCTATAGACATTTACACTACGATGAATGGTATTGTCAGTCTTGAGCTGGCGTATGGTATGAGCACGCTTCCCTGGGCGGACCAGCGCATTTTGCTTCGAGATGGTCTTATTGCAGCCAAAAGCATCACCGATAACCTGCCACCAGAGTTGCAGCTTGGAGACCATGGTGTCGAAGCAAATACCATGGCCAGTCTTGATGATTCTGGCATGCAATACGTGCCTCCTGCGTGGCCCAACAGCCAGCCAGCCCACGATCTTCGCAACGTGATCAAGAACCAACCCGCTCGGCGTAGACATCTTCAGTATGAAATTCAAAAAGCCAACATCTTTGTCTCACAACTCGCTACGCGTTCTTATTTCGTCGAAATGTACTTTGATCTACGGGATGTCCACATGGGAGAACAAAGACAAGAAAACAACCCTATCGAGGGCCACTCAGAGGAGGAAAAGGCCGCACAGGATGCTGATGAGAAGGAGATCTACGAGTTCATGTCAGAAGAGCGGGAGCTGATTGTGCAAAACCTCCTCACAGTTTTGGGGTCGATTTCTCAACGGAACATGGAGCCGAATGGTGGATCGCTCATCAATAAGATCCGACAGGTTGCATCGACACTCTTGAACGACGCTCCTGAGCGCAAGGGCCCTTTTGCGGTGAAATCAGAGGAGGCGTTGTCGCAGTTGATCAATATTTTGGTCAAGCTTGAAAAGACGGGCGCTGGCACTGGGGGTGGCATCGATGCACATGCACAGGATCCGTCGCAGATGACATCGCAGGACGAGGAAATCGAATTGCGGCATTGGGCCGACCTTCGAGATTACCAATTGCGGTTTGCAGCGAATGGCGGGTTTGCTGGAAATCTATAGACAATTGGGGTCAGAAAGATGCGATGAGACAAGGTGTTGTATTACTACAGAAGGCTAATGAGGAACATGGGGTGTCGATTTGAGGCAGCATCCAACTATGTATAATTACGAGACAGCGCGGAAGATGAACGGAACGGCTTAGCGAGTCTGTAACATCTATAGCACATCTTGTACCTTCATGTTTTTGTCACAAAAGCAAATTCTGAGAAGGTATCAGGAAGGGCGTCGCGCAAGCTATGGAACTGTTGACCAAACTCTCGTTCCCTGTGCTCTAGAATTCCATGACATGAAGAGGGTAGTTCACGATTACGAATAAACAGCCGAAAGCCAGGGTCGGCTTTGTCACAGCCAGATTAGATGCGAAAGTGTAGGAGCAAGTGTTATTAATCGCGTTCTGCAAATCCTTCGTACTGTAGAGGTATAGCGGCAAGGAATGAGGAGACCAGATAGCCGCTCAAATGGGTATATGGCTGTTTGCGCTCTGCCTCTCCTTTCGATAGAACCTCATCTCGTAAATCGACCACCCAAATAAAACCCAGTTAATAATTCTGCACGTATTAGCAAGTCTTGATCAAATTGCTAAACGAGGTTACGTACGCTAGTGTTACTAGAAGAGCGATCATGGAGCCTTCCAGACTTCGATTCCAGACAGGGTAGTTCTCCATATGGTAGATGAGAATAGTAAAGCATGCCGTTGCACCGAGCGCAAGGATGAGCTGCACGATGGTGTTGACAATTGCCGGGACGTGAGACATGGAGTGGTTCGCGCGACGAGCAGAGATATTCATCACGACCGCCCAAAGCAAAGACGCAATGGCCTGTGATAAATCAGCGATCATGTCTCACCTAGAATGGGAGCGCATACGTACTACAGGCAAAGCCGTCCAGAGCATCCACGAACATTCATGACCGATGGGTACATCGCTCGGACAGATCTGTGATCTAAGAGACCACCAAATACTCAAGAT